GACTCACACCAGGTTAGAGGCTTGGGAAACACCTTGGGTTCTTCCTGTAACTATACAAACACAGTGGAAAACCAAGCTCATGCAAATTCAAGATGATCAGCCAGTAATTCAACTGTCCTCTAAAACAAGAACCAATACTCTTCACAGGGAGGTAACGGAATCTGAGTCACTACAACATAAGCGCATTCACCCAGAAGTCATTAGACAGAAATAGAGATCCATGGGGCACCTGGGTAGCTCAGTCAGTTACACGTCTGACATCGGCCCAGGTCATGATCTCACGGTTCATGCGTTCGAGCTCCATATCAGGCTCTGCTCTGACAGTGTGCAGCCTGCTTCGGATTCTCTGTCTCCCTCTCTCTCTGCCCCTCCCCCGCTGATTCTCGGTCTCTCAAAAATAAATAAATAAATTTAAAAAAACTAAAAAAAAAAAAAAAAAAAAAAAAAAGAAGTAATAGTAGTGAACCACAATCAACTTAAAAAACAGTCACGAGAAACCAAACTGGAGACGGCCCAGCTGTCAGACTAACAGAAAACGGCTTTCAAGGGGTTTCCGAGAACTTGCAGCGACCCTCAGTTCCCAAGGACTGGTGGTCATTAGCAAGCCACAACACCCACCAACCTACAAGCTTCATTAAGCTAGTAGATATTCCTTTGTTTGGCGGATCCCCCGTCTTACAGGATGACTAAACAAATGAACAGGTAGTTCCTATTTCCGAAAGCTGGTAACATTTATTGAACTTCCTGAGTAACTGAAAAAATCATGTAGCTACGGATGTGCTTGAAGAAACACATTGCCTCATGTGGGAAGTCTCCTTACAACCACCCACTCTTGACACAGGAGATTAGACAAAACCACTCGTGTGGCTTGAAGGACGGGGTGGGTTAACGTATTAAGAACCTGCTTACCCTTACAGGCAGCACTCTTCTACTCCACATTTCTCAAGGGGGGCGGGGAGGGGTGGGGAGCAGAACACCTATGAAGAAGTCACTTTCAAAATAGGGAAGGTGAGATTCAGGGGCCGCATCGCTGAGCTCAGAACTGCCACGTTTCTTCTTTCTTCCTTTGAGTCTGAACACATGCGTCCTGCAACCCGGAACCCAAATGCGTGGCAGCTACGAAACTGAGGCCAGTGACAAGTGACTATACTTGCGCGATTCCCAAAGGACAGGGCAACCCTGTGGCTACCTGTCACCGACCTATTGGAGACTGCTCTAACACATCCCCTGATGCCCTGATAACGTTCTGTGTACCGCAGACTGAAGAACGTACCTGGGAAATGAGGTATGATTTCACCATCGAGCTTGTAAGCAACCCCAACTTTGATTTCCGTAAACATGTCCAAAATATCCAATTTGGTAAGTGCCAACCTAAGCGGAAGGAGAGGCAACGTTAAAAGAGCAGACTCTTTGAGGCCCTAACATCTAACGCGATGAGGAAGTAAAGAATTCGTACCAAGCTAAGCATTCCAAAGCAATTCTGAAAACTGGTTAGGATTATCTTCTGAAGTGCACCACACGTAAAGCGTGCATTTTCCTCATGATAAAAAAATGACTTACCTACTTGTGAGTAGCTCTCATAATTCCATTTTCCCTGACTGACCCACACCATCTTGCTTAGCTTTCTTATGAGGGATCAACACACACGTGAGGGGCAGCGGCCCGGTGTAAAGGACGCAGTCTATGGGACCTGGCAGAACTCGCTGTCCCACAGAGAGGATGACAAGATACATGGACATTTATGCATCCACCATAGGCCCCCATCTCGCCACTCTAGTCACTATGGCCTCCGCCCTTCTGCTCAGAAACTGTCAAAGCAGAGTGAGGGAACCACATCGAGGACCTCTTCGTGGTACATCCAATCTCCCAATAAACTGACTGGGAAATAACTTTAAGGGGAAATCTATGGCATTAGATAAAATAACAGGTTTGAGAATCTCATCCACAAGGTATCTTTTTATTCTTTATTTTGCTCTTTGCTAGAAGCTAACCCAGAGTAATAGAGACATGAATACGTTTATTTACATATTTGCGTATATGTGTTCATAGCAACTTTTACTGAGCATTTTCAGGGAGCCAGGCAGCGTGCTGTACGCTCTCACTATATTTCTCGCCCAATTTTCAAAATACTCGTGTGAAGTCGGTATCGTCATCTAGGTTTTAAAGATGATGAAAACAGCCACAGAAAGATGAACTTGCCCAAAGCCACAGCACAACGCGTGAGTCGGAGATTTGAAAACAGGAGTTAGACGTTCATCAAGCCCATGCACCAGGTCGCTCACACTGCCTCCTCTGCATAAAGGCAAAGTGTGCCAACCCATCTACCTACCCATCTTACTTCCCTCTACACTTGCACGTGGAGGATCCTGATTCCTTTTTCCCAACCCAGATGTCTAGGAAGACAACGTGGGGTCCTTTCCCTTGGACACCCTTCCCCTGGATCTTGGGCCCCCTGTACTTTGAGCTACAATTGCATTTGGGGGCTAAAGAGTGACACTACCACCAGGATACTATTCTTAAGGTTGCACTCCACAAAAACTAACCTTTGGTCATGAACCCTCCTGCACTTTCCTGAAATAAATGTTTCCGAGAATACTCACGCAGTAAATCCATTAATCATATGAGCGTATTTGAGCAAAACGAGGTCCAGCCAGCCACACCTTCTTTTCCTTCCAGTGGTTACCCCAAACTCGCGACCTCTTGTTTGTAGTAATTCTCCAATTTCCTGGGAAATCAAAAACAGGGCTTTTGGACTACACTCCCAGTGCTGTAAATCTAGTAGAATTAATTATATCTAAGATCATATAACAAGTCGAAGTCTCCTAGAGATGAACATCTCTCAAAAACTAACGAAGTGGAAGACAGAATTCCATCCAGATGATGGATGTTGCGTGAGGCATTATTTGGAAGCGATCCACCTTTGGCTTCGTTTTTTACCATTTCTTTAAAACCAGTAATTTTTACAATGTCAGATAACTCCTTAAGATTTAGATTAACATATAAGAATAATAAATGCTACATATGAAAAACAAAGTTGTCAGTAAGTATTTATTACAAAAGACAAGCCAATTATTTGCAAGAACAACTGTAGTCCAATGATCTTCCTGAAAACCGGAAGACAAACTCTCAGCTAGCAAGGAGTCGCTAACGGCACGATGCCCTTTCAAAGAGAGGAAAGTCGACAACAGCGCTCCAAGTTCTAAGCCACAGCCATTGTCTACAACCTAACCTTCTGTCCATGGTCTATCTATTCCCTACTTTACACCTTTCCGATTAAAGTCATTACCTCTCGTATTCTGACATTGACACAACTATGTAGTTTTTAGACTGCTGCTCTGTCAGGTTTGAATCCCAGCCCTGTCTATGTGCAAGTTATGGTGACTCTCCGTGCCTCAGTTTCCTCATGCGTAGAAGCGGGGGGCGGGGGGGGGGAGGGGTTGGTGACACCACCCAGCTCCCTGAGCTGTTGTGAGGTCCACAGAGCTCCCGAGTATACAACACTTCAACAGTGCCTGGCCCGCCATCGCCACCACTGAGTGTTGGCGAAGGTTAGCCCAGGTCTGGAGGTCACTCTCCTCAGCCCTGGTTCCTGACAGGCTCCTAGTGCAAGGCAGCCGTTATTTTTAACCACCTCTTCCTCCTCCACCACCTTAATCTCCCTCGTGTACCCACCTTCTCGTAGCCTTGCACCTACAAGCACCCTTTTAA